GGCACACCCTATTCTCCATGAGATATAACCAAGAAGATTATTTTTTAACCACTAATGGTAGACCTTCCTTCACACGACAGGACTCCTATCACCTAGGAGCCGCCAAACCTAAGAGTAATAAGATCCACCAAGGAAACAAGGGGGAAGCAATTTTTGCTTTGGTGGAAATGTAGATCGGGCACTTCTCGGGAATTTTGATATTTTGCGACGACTTAGTTCACACTTTGACGATTAGCCACTCGTTACTTCGTGTTTGCTTATTTGCCACTACTTAGTTTGGACTTTGCTGTTTTGCCCCAGTCATGTGGGACCCGTGTGGAAATCACCAGATTACCTCTGCCCGTCTGATTCACCAGGGAGACGAGCTCGTTCCCCATCTGGCGCTCATCTGGCGCTACTAGTGCTTGGCCAAAGACGGCGGCGGCTCGTCCCCGCGATTCCCCTTGGTCCTCGACGGCGGCAGCTAGGTCAGTCCTCTCACTCTCTCAGCCGCCCGTCATGATGCAGGTGTTGTTGTTTGCCGCCGCCGGTCCCGTGTGCTCGTGCATTGCCGTCGCTCTGTTATGCCATCGCTGCTTCGTCTTGCCGACCCCTAATGCTGTTGTTGTTCGTGGCCGACCCATACTGCTGCTGTTGTTCGTGGCTCTGTGTGCTGCCGCTGCTTACTGGTGGTCGGCGGAAGGCGCGATGGAGGCGCTCACTGCTGCCCGGCTCCACTTGGGTGCCGTTGTGTTCAGTCTTGGCATGGACCTGGGCACCGCCGTCTTTGCTGTTACTCCTCGCCGCTGCACGTTGCTGCTTCCCATCGGCTAGTTGGCGCCGGCCTTGCCCGCTGTGCATAGAGGAGCGTCGCCATTGACTATCGTGTGAACAAGGGATGTGGATTGAGTTCGTCCCGTCCGTGGAGTTCGTGGCAAACAGGCACATAACTCATTTTTCTCTCGAATATGCACGAGTGTGCATATCATATATCAAAGAAGATAAGGCAAAGAGTGCCTCCATCATAGTTTACATGGTTACCGGTACAATCTAATCTTCACCACTCACCCACCTTTCTACCCTATGGAAGAAGGGAGTTACATGCCCTTTTAGTAACCCAGCCGATAACCAAACTAAGCCCTCATTACAAATCTTATTTAGCAACTGGAAGACCGATGGCCTCGCACCATCAAAGACTATTGCATTCCGATGCTTCCACAACTCCCACCACACAAGAGCAAAGATGGTTTGTAGATCCTTCGTGCTCACATCATTTGATCCGCGCTTGTCAATGGCCCATTGTACCAGCGAGTCCTTCGTAGTTGGGATCCAAGCCGGAGAGCCCAGCGCCGCACAAATGGCCGCCCAGATTGTTCTAGTGAACACACATGTGAGCATAAGATGATTGATCATTTCCTCCTCTTGATCACAGAAAGGGCATGCGGCTTGATGCGGTAGACCTCGTCGTGCAAGACGATCGGAGGTCCAACATCTGTCTTTCATGGCCAACAAGTAAAGAACCTGCATTGCAAAGGAGCGCGCGACTTCCATGTCAAGTCTGCCGTTGGGATTACCTCTCTACCCCAAAACGCAGCCGCATACGCTGATTTCACCGAGAACCGGCCGTTTTCCTCCCACGACCACTTGATCACATCAGGCACATCCTCCTCCGCTGGCTCCCAAGCACCAACCATCTGCCAAAGCGTGAGAAATTCATGCAAAATATCCATGCCGAAGTTTGGGGTGAAATCCATCGCCCAAGATCCACTCTCCATGGCCGAGCAAACCAATCTCGTCCTTTGTACTCTCGGTGGGACCAAGTCATACACATGTGCCACCTCCTGCACTCTCCTGCCATCTAACCATCGATCTTCCCAAAAAAGCGTTGTGCGGCCCGACCGTGCAGTACTCCTCATAGCTGCCTGGCATAGAAGCCTTGCCTCCTCCGCGACTGAAATTCGAAATTCGCTCCACGGTCTCGTCACATCCGTTCTCTGGAGCCATGGCTAGCGAGCCTGCATGGCCACGTTCATCCATCATAGGTTCGGCAGTCCCAAACCACCTGCCCACTTGGGCGAGCAAACCATGTCCCAAGCAACCGCACAGTTGCCCCCATTTGCTTCCGCTCTCCTACACCACAAGAACCATCTGCAGATCTTGTTCATAGCTGCTATAGTTTTCATCGGGAGGTCTAGCGCCATCATAGCGTGTATGGGCATGGCGCACAGGATGGATTGAACCAAAGTTAGCCGGCCACTCTTGGGCATTAAGGTTGCCTTCCATTTTGGCAGCCTGTTTGCCATATGATCCACCAAGTATTGAAGTTACGCTGCGGATTGCTTTCTTAGAGATAGCGGTAGCCCAAGGTACTTGATAGGGAACGATCCCAACGGACACTCGAGCTCGGTGCATGCTATGGACACCTCCTCATCGGTGCATCTGATAGGTAAGGCCGCAGACTTGTGCAAGTTAATCCTCAGCCTAGCTGCCTCGCCAAACAGCTCAAACAAGCATTTGCAAACACGAAGATCACGCGGATTGGGCTTGACAAACAAAACTACATCATCCGCACAGATGGACAAGCGCTTCCTCATCCCTTCTCGTGCAAGAGGTGAAAGGACACCTCGGTTCGTAGCCACCTCAAACATCTTTTGTGGGGGCTCCATAGTTAGGATGAATAGCATTGGTGAGATAGGGTCACCCTGCCGCAACCCTTTACAATTGTAAATCGTGTCACCCGGGTCACCATTGACCATGATCTTAGTTGTTGAAGTTGCAAGGATCCCACAAATCCATGCTCTCCACCTCGGTCCAAACCCCATGTGTTGCAAAACCTCAAGCAGGAATGGCCACTTTACCGAGTCAAAAGCTTTTGAAATGTCAAGCTTGAGCAGAACAGATGAGCTCTTGAGAGCGTGCAGTCTCCGCGCCATGCTTTGCACAAGAATGAAGTTATCGTGCAAATACCTGCCTTTCACAAACGCGCTTTGGTGATTGCCAACTAGCTTGGGCAGCTCCTCCACCAATCTACAAGCGAGCACTTTCTCAAAAATCTTGATAGCCCCGTGCACAAGGCTTATAGGCCAGAAATCTCGCACCTCCAGTGCTCCTTCCTTCTTCGGAAAAAGGAAGACAAGGGCTTTGTTGATGGCGGCTAAACCCCTCATGTCGCCCTTGTAGAAACACTCCATTGCCTTCATGAAGTCGTCCTTAATAATGCTCCAACACACGGTGTAGAACCTGCCGGTAAACCCGTCCGGTCCCGGGGCCTTGTCTAGTGGCATGCTCTTGATTACCTTCTCCACTTCCTCAGTTGTAAATGGTTGCTCGAGATGCGATAGGTCACAATGTGGGAGCCCAAGAATATCTAGGTTGATAGTATGATTCCTAGCTTCCAAGGTGCCAAAAGCCGCACCAAAATATGCATCAACTGCCGACGCGACTTCCTCCTGCCCAGCATAGAGGTTTCCATTATGTTTCCCCACACGTAAGGTGTTCTTCCGCTACCGGTGGCTGGCCTGTTGGTGAAAAAGCCTGGTATTGCCGTCCCCATCTCGCAGTTGTAGTAACCGAGACCTTTGCCTCGCAATAGTCCTCTCC